ATTTGAGGGTAATGAAGAGATCCAACTTTTATATCTAGGTAATTTTTTCATATTCGGTCATTGAGCCTCTTAGTTGTAGATCGAAGTTTGGTGAAAGGATCTGTGTGAAATTTTGTATTAGAATTCGGCTTTAGGGGTAGTTTAGGTAAATTATTTGACAAGCAGGTATGACTTTATGAGAGGACCTCATACAATTTCTTTTATGAGTGGATTTTGTGAAGTTGCGTTTTAGGAGGGGTCCTCCTCGGCAGTCTAAGGCAAGAGCTTCTGCATCACTTTTTTTTTTTTTCTTTATTTTATTTTATTTTATTGGTGGAGCTTACTCCTATATCACTAAGTTTTTTTCTTCTTTTATTTTTTTTGGAGTAGCTTTGTTTTTTTTTTTTTATAACTGAGTGTTAGCAATCAAACTTAAAATGTAGTGCACTCGAGCCTTTTTCCACAAAAGAGAATGTAGTGCACTCAAGCCCAAGCATGATTCTCCTAATTACCTTTCATTTTTTAGTGAAATTATTTTCCTCATTGTTTGGGTTTTATTTCTTCAGAAAGGCCACTGAAGCTTTTTTTTCAGACCTAATTACTATGAAGAAGAGAGAATGCTATCATCGTGCCAGTAGTCGCTCAAAAGAATCAGATTCGATGATACGGTTTGGAGAAGCTTGGGTTTAACCATGTATGAGTTTAAAAGGGATTATGTTCAATGAGACTAATTTTTAGTGTAGAGAGGCCACAAACACCTTAAAAGGAATTGTATGCAATGAGATGATTACCTTTTATAAAAGGAAAAAGTTTATACAAAGCTGAGGCTCTAAATAATCAAATTAGAACCGACCTCAAAATTTTTATTAGAGGTTATTTTCATCCCCAAATATCCTTAAATTTATCATCTGGACATCAAGATGCATGGACATGAGAAAAAAATGGATTTCAAGTTTTGAAAATAGTGCATCTTGTAACGTATTTTGGACCATCAATTTTTAATATTTTCAAGTTTTTATAGATCTGCTTGTTCTATACCATTTTTAAAGCTTTAAATTTTATAATTAAAGATGTCAATAAATTTTAAGGTTATCACAAAGATTTACAGTATTGAAAGCACATTTCTCAATACTATTTGAAGGTGTATTTTACTTTGATTGTTTAGAGCGCCAGCTCTATACAAACCGCACCCTTTATGTAGAAATGTCACTCAATTTCACATTCAACCGCCAAAAATAATTGTGTCCATACGTCTCCAATTTAAAAAACTTAAAGGCTCGATTATATGAACAAAAGCCAATTTTATCATCATTATTATAAGAGCTTTATCCTAAGTATTTAGGGTCAGCTATACAAATGATATTTTGCCATTTTGCTCTGTCAAAAGTCATACATTTGGTTAGACAATAAGTCACTATATATCTTCTCACTATTTCCATCTATGTCCGTTTGGATAAATTTTTTTGTCGTTTCAAATCGATCCTCTTGTCGTTTTGGAACCTTCTACTTGAGCCAATCGTCCCTCCTAATTAGTGTTATTAGGTCTACGTTGTACATAGCCAACCCACCTATCTACTTTCCTTTATAGCTTATTGGAGTTATCCCTAAGTTCTTTTGCATCTATTTGTTTTGAATTATGTTGCCACTTATCCATCTCAATAACTTTATCTCAGTTATACTTATCCTATGGACAAAAACGATTCCAAAAGTCGAACTCCAAACAAACCGCACATCTCTATATGCAACAAAAAAGATTGAGAGCCATTGTTAATTGTTCCTATTTTTTAATGTTTTTTGGAAAATTTACATTGTAAACCTACCCCAAAACAATTTGTCAAGAAATACCTTGTCTCTACAACTCCCCAAAAAGTTCTCCTACATGCAACCCCCTCCATGTAGAAGAAGTTTGTTGGGGGAAAACGTTATTAAAATAGACAAACCATTTCAAAAAGTCAATAAAGTGGTTAAAACTATTTTCTTAACAAAGTGGTTATACATCTATGTGCCTCAAGAAGTTTGTAAAGATACCCAAATCATATTGGTTCCAAGTAACACATTTTAGTCATTTGACCCAATTAAATCACTTGAGCTACATTGACAAAAACAGTCGTACTTTTTCTCATTTGGAACTTGGAAGACATTTTTAACATTAAAAATTCTTGTTTCAGGACTAGAATTCAAAATCACACGTAGGCTTTTAATCTAAACGTTTCTACATGCTATTAGGTATATGAAAGCTATATGCGCCACCCTGTGCTGGTAGTCTAATTTAAATAGATAATTTGGATGACTTCAATCACAACGTAAAATACACAACACAAAAATTGGGACGTGACCTCCTATTATAGAATATCTAAAAGACAAATATAAAAATAAATATTTCAGATGAAATAAAATAACCAAAATACTCTTACAAGTTTCAAAGGTAATAAGGTTATTTATTTTGTTAAAATATATATATATATATTTCTTTTCGGCTCACGGCTCTCCTGATCGGCCACAAGTAACCCAATCCACAACTCTCTCTCATTCACGTTGGAAAGTTGGCAGAGGTGAGGTGGCGGAGTTCCCCAAGTAGATGATAAGCTAATAATCTACGGATTCAGCAGACCATTTCCCTTTCTCTCTCAACTAAGCTAATTTACAGTTTGCACACATCATCTCTCTCTCTCTCTCTCTCTCTCTCTCTCTCTCTCTCT